TTCACATCTGTAGTGATAGCTCTGTAGTACAGAGATCTGGGGAATCATGGTTCAAGCAAGGCCAGCCCAGGCACCAAAATTGGTGAGACTCCTTCTTGACCAATAACTGGTGCAGTGGTATACTCTTGTCAGTCTAAGCTATGGGGAAACACAATGGCTGGGACCAGTGGAGCTCAGTCCAGGCCAGCCTGGGCATAAAGCCAGACCCAATCTTGAAACTAAACAACACAAATGGTATGGCTCTAGTAGCAGACCATCTATCTAACACGTATAGGGCTCTGAGTTCAAATTCCAGGACTGCCCGCTCCAAAAAAGGTATTAAAATACTTGCAGATGAAAGTATTTTTTAAAGTCCCTATTTGCAGATTATATGACTATTGGAAGTGGCACTGTGACTCAAGTGGTAGAGTGCTAGCCTTGAACTGAAGTGCTGAGGGACAGCGCCCAGGCCCAGAGTTCAGGCCCCACAACTGACCAAAAAAAAAAAAAAAAATTATGTGACTATCTACATAGAGTCCCCACACTCCCTAAAAAATAACAAAATTTTTGCGAAGCTACAAGGAGACAAGACCAATGCACAAAAACCAATGGTTTCTATGTACTGAAAGTAAACACATGAAAACTGAAATTAAAATACAATTAACTGCTTCCAAGAAAATAAAATAACAAGTTTATTAAAGCTAATCCAAGAAAACCAAAATGTTTGCTGAGAAATGCTCAGCCAATTCTCCCTCACATTATTAGATAATCTAACAATCCCACTTCTGGGTGTATATCCAAAAGAATTGAAAGCAGGACTCAAAAACTTATTTGTACACAATGTTCATTATAGTACAACTTGCAACAGTTAAGAGGTGGAAGCAGCCCTTTGTCCATTGGAGACAAATAACAAAATGTGCTACAAACATACATTAAAAGGGGGGGAATGCATATCACAGTATGGGTAAACCTTGAGGACACTTCACTAAGTGAAAAATGCCCAGTCACAGAATGGATAAGCACTGTATGAGTTCACCTACAGAAGGTATTTTAAAGTTGTCAAAATTACAGAGGCAGAGGCTGGAGGAAGGGGAAAATAAGTTTCAGTTTTACAAGATTAAAAAGCTCTTGGTTGACCTACAACAATGTGAATATATTTAAAAACACTGAATTGTACATTTAGAAATGGTTAAGAAGGCAAATTTTATGTTAGCTGCCTTATTTACTGCCAATATTGTCAAAATATTATCCTAATATGGAATCTGGATAAAAATAATTGATACTCTTCTTTTCTTTTTGGTGCTGGTTCTTGGGCTGGATCCTATGGCCTAAGACTCTCCTTGAGCTATTTTGCTCAAGGATAGAGCTCTACCACTTGAGCCGCACTTCTATCATTTTTGGTAGTTAGTTAAAGATAAAGTCTATCTCACAGACTTTTCTGTCCAGGCTGGCACAGAACCAAGATTACAGGCATGAGCCACTGGTGCCCAGCTCCACTTTCTTTGATCACAATACATCTTCAAAATACAGTGTGTGGACACTGATACCACATCTGGATTTGAACTAATCCTAGGCTCAATTTACAGGCAGTTTCCCCACACCTAATTCCTACAGTGACATATCTTACAGCTGGAACCTAATACTCAGAAATATATGAGACATACCTTACAGCTAGAACCTAATACTCAGAAAGATATGAGAAGTCAAGAATCAAGTCCTCTACGTGCTACCTGGCTTTGTTGAAGTTCTATTTTCCCTCAGTTAAAAATTCTTTTGAAAGGCAGTTCTGGGGATGTAGCTCCTGCCTAACTGTGCAAAGGGCCTTGGGTCAAAAACACAGCAAAAACAAAACAAAATACCTGTGGAAAAGCTAATCTGTAGAGCTCTATTGACTTTCGAATCTTCTGTTCTTCTTTTCTTCAATCAAGCACCTCACTGGGGTCTGCATGACCCCCTGCCTCCCACAGGAAGCTCTTAATATAAAGGAGGGGACAATTACCAGCTGCTGCAGAAATACTCACAGGATGTTGAAGGGTATAAAGAACAATTAACTCCCATCTGTGAGTTCTACCACACTGTGAGGGAATAGGTTTAAGTAACACAACCTGCTGGTTGTGGATACTCATACATACTCCTAATTCTCTTTTTCTTTCTTTTGCTTTTTTTGTTAGTGCTGAAAATGGGAATTGAGCCATAGCTCCACTCTGGCTTTTGGCTGGTTAACTTGCTTTAAGAGCCGCACACTCAGATCTCAGCCTCCTGAGTAGCTAGGATTACAGGTGCAACCAGCTTCCTTTCTTATTTCTAATTGCACTGACTATACTTCAGAGTAAGAATGTATATAGGATTTAATATGTAATTTGCATGAAAAATGTATAAGGCATAAAAACACTCATGGGAAAAGGAATTCACGGAACCAACAACATACCTTATAGCTGCAAGGTTTTATTAAAATAATCATTACTCAAGTTAATCCTCCCAGAGCATATGCAAGCTAAAATGGTACAAAAGTATGTCTTTATGTTCCTACAATAAAGATAATATTCTTTCAACCTTTCTTCAGAAAAATCAGATATATAGAGTATAATACCTAACTGCTAAGCATCCTGACAAGCCTTCACTTCCCCATCAGAATAAAGATACAAGGACAAAACTTCAAGGCTCACTGTTCACTACCCAAGTAACTGAGCAGAAAGCTATTTTGTGGTTGAAGGAGCCCCTGGCTAAGCAGAACCTTTTTGTGACCTCACATTTGTGTTCCAACAGGGCAAGTCAATCAAAGACTTCTTAGTGACAAATTCATTTTGTAATAACTATCAAAAGCAACATTAAAGATCCTAATGGAGATGGCTGAATAAGGAATAGAACATTGATCAACTTAGAATTGTGGTCTTCAGGCACTTAGCTAAGACTCTGAGGATAGCCAGGAAAAGTAGTTACTTAGTGACTACAAAAATTATACATTTAAATCGTCAAGTTAATAACCTTGCATTTGACAGTCTTCTCATGGTCTGAATCTCTCCCAAACAAATGTCTAAAACCTCAGTGAAGAAAACTTACCTTAGTATGTTAACTTCAGACAAATTCATTAAAACTCATCATTTCATTCCATGTATTCAACTCTAAGTTATCACATTAGTCTATGGAAGTGAACAGGGTAATGACTCAGGATTCAATACTTTACTTAGCAGGTACAACTAATAACTTTAATAATGTAGATTGTGATCTTGAAAGCTCTGAATCTGCATCTCATCTCAACTAACGGTGCTTACATTATTAATAAATTGCTAAATAATATATTCATATCAGCATTCATATCTGTTTATTAGAAAATGCACTAATATAGCCAGTGTTCCCGGCTACCAAGAAAGGAAAAATAATTTCCATGCATTAGGCTCCTACCTCCAGAGACTATTCCATAGGCCAGCAGTGTGAACCTATAATAGCTTTCAAGGGGGTCCTTAAAATATACAGGTTTTAAATATACATACCATAAAGCTCTGTTAACTTGGCAAGAATATGGTAGGTTCACATCTACAGTGGCCAATTTCATGGGAAGCACCAAGAACTTGTAAGGCTAAAATGAGTTTGGGAGTAGCAGCACAGGCTGTAACTAAAGTAACAGTAATAATAAAATTTGCAGCTTCTTTCTATAAGGAGGAGCCCTACTTACATCTCCCAGTACAAGGCAGATGTATAGCCAATGTATATAGCTCATTGGTATTTGTCGTTTTTGCTTGCGGTTTTCCAGGAGAATCCAACCTGACAAGGAACAACCCCTATAAAGTTCTTTCCATCTCTGTAACATGGGAATCAGTCTTCCTGATTTATTTCACAGAAGTTGGTGACGGCACAGATCTGTAGGTCCCACATTTACTAACAGATTTATCACTGTACTCTAGAATTCAGGTGCTTAGGTTGATGACTTTGGTTTTAGTGAACCTACAGCATACTAGATATGATCTAAATCTTGGAATTTAAACTAGATTTCCTAATTGATAACACAGCTAATCTCCTTCCATCTTGTGTGTATAGGGTAGGCTAATCTGGACAAATGCCAAAGGTGACTGGTGAATGATCAAAACATGAGTCCTTTCTATTAGCAGCACAGTTGAACCAACACAGACCCATTCTATTGCCAGGGTTACCAGAAATGTACATACTCAGGGGTCACAAGCCAGAGTCCCAGATTGTAATCAAACCTGCAGATGTTTCAATCTGGCCTATCTAATGTTTAGAGATCTAAATTAGTTGTCAATGCTTAAATGTCCAGATATATGCCCTCAAAAATCTGCATTCCTGGACTATCTTGTAATAAAGAAATGCCTACAATCTCAGACCACATGCCCTCTGGCCACAATCAAGAACAAATGCTCTCCAAATTGCCCACAACCCCTACTAGGTTCCTTTCCCAGGGAGTAAGCTCCCTCAATGATTTTACTGTGCACATATCTGGGTATTCAAATTTGCCATTGCTAGTTCAGTTCCAATACTAACTTTAATCTCTGAAATAAAAAACTACAATCTGATCTCATCAGTATTATATCCAAACTTTCTGAGTGGTGAAACTCTAAGGGAAATGTAGGTAAGAGCAAAACCAGTTCCTACTGCTTGTAGGAACTATTCCATTTTCCAAATGTCATCTCTACAAATAATTAACTTGTTCCATCTCTTTCTTCACACTCCCAGTTACATTACTAAGCTGTTTTCTGTAACTGTCCAGTCCCTTTCAAACACAATGCTGTTAACATGTAACACATAGAGGTTAATACAATTTGCCGTGAGAATATGCTTCACCTTGAAGGCCAGAGATTCAAGCTGATGCTGGATAGTGATGCCATCTATACACTTCATGACTTTAAAAACAAACAATAAAAAACACCAAAAGCTTGAAAAAAAATTTTTGAACACATTCTCCATTCCATAATGGAGCATAAATCACTGGAAGGATTGTAAAAGAAGGCTCTAAATGTTCCACACCGCCCTGAAACGTTCATGCATGTGCAGAGGCTACTGCTTACCCATTGCGCTGAGATAATGGTTGAAGGCCTGGCAGGGAGGACTTGGGGTTTGTGTTGATTTGTCACAACTCATGGGTGCCGGGCTCCTGTCTGTGTCAAAAGAGAAATACCCACTGGAGGATCGAGACAGCAGGGAAGATCTTCTCACAAAGATGAAAAGCGGGGATCTGGTAGCAAAAGGGCCAGGGCTGGCCGGTGGGGCCAGCGGGCCCTGAGGGCTGCCTTGGGGGCAGCGGTCCCCTTCGCCTTCGGGACTGCCTTCGGGATTACCTTGCTGCTCTGTCTGTAGGGAGGTAGGGGCCCCAGGCCTGAGCTGGGGAGGCCTCTCAGCAGGCTGCAACTGTCCACCTTCTCGGTCACACTCAGAACTTACATCGGAAGGTTGCTTTGCCATTTGGTCTTTTTTTCTGGAGGTAAAAGAAAAAGAAAAACTCTGTTTTATGTTCAGCAAAATAAACTTCGACCTATTCACTAAAAAGTGGAGGGAATCCCACATACTTTGTTAACAATCGCTCGAATATAAAAGCAAAAGTATGGAGAGATGGAACTAAACTTGGGACCACCAGAGAAAATAAGAGTTAAGAACGTCAATTATTTTGCAGGGCTAAGGGTCTCCCGTGCACAAACATGCACACAAGGTTGCAGAGAAGCAGCCTGCTTGAAAAGTCTATTTGAATGTTCTTTTGCTCAGGACAGACTTGAATCAAATCCGAAATTCCCAGCGGGCTCTGATTTCCCGGGATCAGACTCTGCGCTGGAGTACAGCGCCGGGCGCAGATGCGGCGACTGCCTGCAGCTGGCCCCGTTCCCCGCTTCGGCCCCATTGTTTGCCGAAAATGCTGAGGGCAGCAAGTCTGGGGAAGGTTTGGCAGCGGCCGTCAGTCGTAGTAAGTGCGTCACAATAGAGTTTGTAACTCAGCGAGCGCAGCTCCGCCCGGTTCGGGCGCTTCTCCGCCCGCGGTGCCTCCCGCTCCCGCGCGCCGCACCGAACCCGACACAACTTCTCCAAGATGCAGCCTGTACTGTTAGATGCACACTCCTAAATCGGGGACCCCCCCTCCCGGAACCGCCCTCCGACACCCCCGGCGAAGTCCACAGATAGTTCTGCACGCACGGCGACACCGGTTCCTCACCGCGCGATTCTCTAACTAGAGACAACCCCCCTCCGCCCCCACCGCGCCGTCCCTCCCTTCGCCAGGCAATCACACCGAAACTCACGTCCGCCCCTTCCCTTCCGTGCGTTGCGTCCGGGCCCGGGCCCCGCGGCGACCGACCCGCGTTCTGCGCCGACCCGGCGCCCCCAGACCGTCACCACTCAGGCAGCGTGGGACACAAGGCGCAGCACCAGGCTTCAGAGCCCTCCGGGCAGCGCTGGGTGCACGCCTTCCCGCCC